CACACTCAACTAGATGTCATCCGATCTTGGCACAGGGAGGTTCATTTGGTGACAAGATGAGGTTTCTGTTTCTCTCGTTATTTGATGGTTTTACATAAATAGTTTACATGTACATATTTTAGGAAACTTCCACGGTGTTGGTTTTTCATGCTGCTCCACAAATGGCCCTGACATTTAAATGTTTCTCCCTATATTTCCTCCCTTTTCCACCTCTTCTATTCTTTTCTCAACTAGTTCATCCCATTCCAGTTCCCCCATGCCCTTTCATAACTATCTTAGCTTGTTTCGTCTGTCATTCTGACAGATGTAAGACGAAATCTCAAAGTAGCTTTGATTTGCATTTTTTTTCTGGTGACCGAGGATGCTAAACATTTCTTTCAGTATTTCTTAGCCATTTGAGTTTCATCTTTTGAGGATCCTCTTTTTAGATGTATGGTACATTTTTTTAATATTATTTTTTCAACATATTTTCATTGAATATTTGGAAATGTCACATCATGCACCCTGATCATACTCATTTCCAAGACCTTCCATGTCCAGCTCTAACCTTGTGACCCCCCCAAAAAAAATTAAAAAATAAAAATAAAAAGTCCAATTTGTGTTATCTAGATAGATACTAGATATCAGTTGTCTGCCCTTTAAATAGAACTGAGTCATGTCACTACCCACCCCCAGATTAGATTCCCATCAATTGTGGGAATCTAACTTCAGCATTCTTATCACATTTTTAACAGCTTAAAAGTTCTCTTTAGTGGCTTTCTGCTACTTTTTGGTAAGGCGGGGTTTGGAGTAGGGGTAGAAGTTGTCACAGAAGCCTTCCATGCCCCCTTTTCTCAACTATGCACCTGCAGCCATGTATATCACGGCAAAAGTACCCTCCTTGTTTTTCATAGCCATCACAAGCATGGATTTCCACATAGTGTCTAGTGAAAAGGCAGACCTTGAACACAACACCCAGCTGCAGTAGGACCTTGGACATAGACATGACCATCAGTGTAAGCATTGGTGACTCATATCAGCCTGGTCCTCACCACTGTCCTGTCTCTAGTTCCATATCTCTCCACAGTGCATGTCTTTCTCTGTTTATCTGTCTTTCCTATCTTTCCATCACATATTCTTCTATCATAGTAGTACCCACCGCCCCTGCCCACACTGTGAGGTAGATGGCCTGGTTGGATTCTGTTCACGCACCAGCATAGCCTCTATATGTAATTTTAAATTGGGTAATTTGTTTTTCTAGTAGCTAATTTCTTGAGATGGTTATTTATTTATGATATTAGCCCTCTATCAAATGTAGAGATGATAAAAAAAATCTTTTTCTCATTTGGTAGGCTTCTGCTTGTTTCAAGTGATGGCTGTACAGACACTTTTCAGTTTCTTGGGGGTCCCCTCCATAAATTTTTACTTTTGGAGCCCGTGTTAATGGTGTTCTGTCCAGAAAGTCTTATTCTGTGCCAATGAGTTCAAGGCTGTTCTCCACGTTTTCTTATATCAGGTACAGCGTTTCTCACTTTAGATTGAGAGTTTTGATCCATTTGGAGTTCAATTTTTAGCAGGGTGAAAAGTATGGACCTTATTTGGATTATTCAGCACGGAGACATCCAGTTTGACCAGCACCATTTGTTGAAGATGCCTTTTTTTCCAGTGTGTATTTTTCTGGCTTCTTTATATATATATATATAAAAACAGTTCTGTAGGTATGTAGATTTAAATCTGTACCTTCAATTCAATTCCATTGATCAAATGTGTCTGTTTGTGCCAATGCTATGCTTAAAAAACAAAATCCTAATAGCTCTATAGTACAAATTGAGGTCAAAGATGGCGGTCCCTACTTTTATCATTCAGGTTTGTTGTTCTCTCTCTCTCTCTCTCTCTCTCTCTCTCTCTCTCTCTCTCTCTCTCTCTCTCTGTGTGTGTGTGTGTGTGTGTGTGTTTCCATTTACCTTTCCAGATTTGTGAATAATTGTTTGTGATTGGATTTTAATATTGATTGCTATGAATCTGTAGAGTGCTTTTGGTAGGATAACCATCTTTACTATATGAATACTACCGATCCATGAGCATGGGAGATCTTTCTGTCTTCTGATACCTTCTTTATTTTCTTCAACATATTAAAGTTTTTATCACACAAGTATTTCCCTTGCTTGGTTAGGGTTACTCCAACTATTTTATATTATTTGAGGTTGTTATAAGAGGTGTTGTTTCCATGATTTCTTTCACAGTCAGTTTGTCATTTCTGTATATGAAAGGTACTGATTTTTGTGAGTTTATCTTGTATCCAACTACTTGTTAAAAGTGTCTACCAGTTGTAGGCATTTCCAAGGGTACTTTTTAGGGTTATTCGTGGATACTGCCATATCATCTGCAAATAAAGATATGTAGATTTTCCTCCTTTCCAACTTATGTCCCATTTTTCTGTATCAGTTGTCTTAGTGCTCTGGCTAAGACTTCAAGTTCTGTACTGAACAGATATTGAGAGAGTGGACAACCTTGGCTTGTTCCTAATTGTAGAGGAATTGGTCTGATGTCCTACACATTTAAGTTGATGTTAGCTAAGGGCTTAATGGAACTAGGGGCTTTATTATTTTAAGGTATGTTCCTTGTATTCATAATACATATGGGGCTTTTATCTTGAAGGATGTTATATTTTACCAAGTTTTTTTCTGCCTCTAACTAGATGATTATGTCATTTTATCTTCAGTTTGTTTATATGGTAGATTACATTTATCAGTTTACATAGGATGAACCATACCTGCATGTCTATAATGAAGCCTACTTGATCATGAGGGATGATCTTTTCGATGTGCCATTAGATTTGGTTTTCAAGTCTTTCATTGAGAATTTTTGCTTCTATATTCATAAGTGAAATTGGACTGTGATTCTCTTTGTTGAGCTTTTTTGTATTTTGGGTGTCAAGCTTACAGTGGGCCCTGTAAATGAATCAGACAATGTTCCTTCTGTTTCTATTTTGTGGAATAATTTGAGGCCTATTGCCATTAAGACTTCTTTGAATATCCGGTAAAATTCTGCTCAAAACCAATTAGGCCTGGCCTTTCTTTTGGTTGGAGACTTAATTACAGCCTCTCTTTTACTAAGGGTAATTTGTTATCTTTGATGGCTCTCAGATCTTAACTTTGGTAAGAGGTATGTATTAAGAAAATTATCCATTTGTTTTAGTTTTTCCAATTTGGTTGATTACAGGTTTTTAAATATGTCCTTGGATTCTCTGGGTTTTCACGGTGACTTTTCTTTTGTTATTTCAGTCTTTTCCTCTTCAGTTTTTTTTTAATTTGAATATTTACACTCCACCTTTTAGTCAATCTTCATACTATTGATTCTTTGCATTGTTTCTATTTTATTGATTTCAGCCCTGAATTTGATTATTTCCTGCCATCTACTTTTTATGGTGTGATTTTTTTCTCTGTTCTAAGGCTTTGAGATGTGTTGTCATGAGATCTCTCCAATTTTATTATATAAACATTCAGATCTATGAACTTGCCTTCATTGTGTCCCCTAACTTTGGTTATATTGTGTATTTATTTTCATTATGTTCTAGAAAGTTTTAAATTCCTTAATTAAGATTTTTTTTATTCAGTAGTGACTTGTGTAGAATCCATTGACTTTGTAAGCTTTCTATTATTTTTAAAATGATTTGCTTTGTGTCCAATATGTGGACAGTTTTGGAGAAAGTTGTATGAGGTGTTTAGAAAATTATACTCTTTTGTGTTTGGGTGAAACGTTCTGTAAATATCAATTAGGTTCATTTGGTTTTAAATATCACTCAAGTCCAGCATTTCTCTCTTTAGTTTTTGTCTGGATGGCCTGTCTGTTTTTGAGAGGCATGAAATAAAGTCTCCTATTGTCACTGTGTGAAGGTCAATCTGTCACTTAAGTTGTAATAAGGTTTCTTTTACTAACCTCGGTGTCTTTGTGTTTGGTGCAAAGATGTTAATAATTGCAATGTCTTTTGGTAGATTTTCCTTGGAAGTGTATGTAGTGTCCTAACCAGATCTTAAATTAAACCAGAATCTTAAATTAAATTAGCAAAAGGTCCTGATAGAGTCTTTAATCTTCCCTCTGAAACATCACAAGCCAGGAGCCCATGTTCTGCACTCCTCTCAAAATTTTCATCTCCCGAGTTCCTAAATAAATGGAGAGAAAGACATTGGAAACGAATACACTAAAAAGTATTTATATGAAAATAGAAAAAAAATATAGGCTCCTCAAAAGACTATCAATTTGAGAATGGAGGAACAAGTAAGGTTTTGAGGTGAGAACACCTGGGAGGGCTGGTGGGTATAATGGGAAAACTGATGAAATTCTATTTAAAAAGTATGAAATAAAACAAAACTATGAACTTAACTTTAAATTACAATATACTAACAAATGAAGACGTACAAAACCAGGAGAGGAAGCAGTAATGATACCTTACAAGGATCTTGTACAGCAAGGCTGCAGACTTTCTACCTGAACAAATTTGCTATCAAAATAAAACACATGAAAAAGATTATTGTGATACAAACCTGCTTTATTTAGCAATGTCAAGAAAGCAAAGAGCAGAGAGGATGTCACATGAGCTCAGGACTAGTGACTGTGCTATCACAGTTTCTGACAGGGAGGTTTATGACATTGAAAGATGGGGTTTCTTAGGCCACTGGAAAGTGAAGGGAGCTGCTCATTTTGAGCCAGACCCAGACAACGATTTCCAGAATGAAGGGCACAGACACACGCTTTCACAGTCACCTCAGAGATAGAGCTTGGGAGGCAGGAGCCTGGAAACCAAATACAACATGAAGCACCAAATGTGAGAGAATGATGATGTGATCTCAGAGGACGACAGTAAGAAGATGAACAGTGGGGACCCATGCAGACAGAAAGAAGAGCAAGAGGACCCAGCTTCTCTCCAAGCAGAAAGTCCAGAAAGGAGAAGCCCCTGAGCACAGGGCTTTGCAGCCAGGGCAGCTGGGGTCTAGGACAAGCTCTGGTGACAGACAGAGACTTCATTGCCTGTAGCTCTTCCTGCTGGAGGAGGTAGTGATGTATATGCTGGTGAAAGAGCTGCCACCAGAGGAGCCGAGATCACCCCAATGCCTCTGCCTCTGCCAGCACTGAAGCCATCTCTAAGGCCGTGGCTGCAGTTGTTTGAGTAAATGCTGCTTCCTGCCAGGTCTAAGCTGCTGCTGGCACCACTTGTGCTGCCTCTGGATATGTTTGACTGCACCACAGCTGTGAAGGAGGGAAGAGGGCATCACAGACCTGGTGAGCATACTGTGACCAGCTGAGACAGTCACAAGGGCAGGAGAAAGGAATTCAGACAAGCAGAGTACTTACAGATGTTGACTGATCCAACACCTTCACCATTCAACCTAGGAAAGGAAAGCAGAAGGTAAGAACTGGGCAGCCATGGCTTCAGTCTCCATGGGAACCCTCAGTCTTGTGAAGGTTCACAGAGATAATCCCCCTGTCAAGAAGCTTCCTGAAGGGAACATTAGGTCATGGCAGGTGCTCTCTTGTCTTGTGCTCAGTGACTGGCTCAATGGAATTGTCCTCAGGGGATGGAGTATGTATTCCCACCTGTTTTCTTCCTCCTCCAGCAGCTTCTTGTAAGTGGTGATTTCAATATCAAGGTACAACTTGATATTCAGGAGCTCCTGGTACTTCTTAAGCATCCTGATCATGCCCTGTTTGGCCTTCTGCATGGCATCCTCCAGACCTTCCAGCTTGCCTCTAGCATCCTCGAGAGCCAACTCCCCATGCTGCTCAGCATCAGCAATGGCCATCTGCTGGTTGCCACACTGGGTAGAGAGAGCAAGAAAAACAGGCAGTGTGGATCTCAAGAGAGGCTGGGTCCCAGATCTTGGCTTCCAGTGAGCAAGAATGTAGAGGACAGGAAACAATGGCCAGCAATTCCAGCATTTCTCTGTTCTAACCCACCTGCTTCTTAATGTGGCTGATCTCAGATCTCAGCCTCTGGATCAGGAGTGTGATCTCAGTGACCTTCTTGGTGTTGTGCAGGTCGTCCCCATGTCTATCAGCTGTGACCTGCAGTTCCTCATACTGAAGGTCAATCCGTCAGAGAATGCTTATGTGAGTTTCGTTTGTGAGTTTTTACATTGAGAAGTAAATCCACTTCTAAGTGGCACACACTAACATGGATATGATGGCTTTTCCTCAAGTGAAGCTTTAGGAGACCACAGACTCCATAGTTTCTTCAGGAAGTGAAAATGTTCTGTAGTGTCTCTGAGGACCATTGTTTAGAGTACAGCTCAAGCAAAGAGATCACGGGCCACATTTATGTCAACGTTGCATCTACCTCTGGCTTCTTTTGCTCTTAGAATAAAACATTCTACAACCCAAGTACACAGTACATTTGGTGTGCAAACACCCCCCCTCTCTTTATTGGACCACCAATACTGAAGTCAGAGACTCATGAAGTTCAGAGTAGGTCCAGGCATCCTCATCAGCCTCCACACCAACACTCACTTTAGTCTGGTACCAGGACTCAGCTTCAGCCTGACTTCTCTGAGCAATGTCCTCATACTTGGACTTAGTATAGCATACTAAGTCAGCAATGATGCTGTCTAGATCCAGGCTGCGGTTGTTGTCTTTGGAGAGGACCACAGATGTGTCTGAGATGTGAGTTTGCATCTGAGACAGTTCCCGCAGAAGAGAAACTGCCATGGTCATCTCTGTCTGTGAGGATCACAGAGGTTCCCAACACTTTGTACAGTATTAAACAAAGGGAATGGGTAGAGGAGAGGGAGAAATGGAGAAAATAATGCTTACTGCCTCAAAGATAGTTCTCAAGAAGTTGACCTCATCTGTCAGACTGTCTCTGTTGGTTTGTGCTTCGCCTGTATTCATGTAGGCAGCATCTACAACATCCTGAAGAAACCATCAAGAACATGGAATCAGGTTAAATATCTTACCCAGACCATTCACCAGTCTCTATGACAACCATTTTTCTGGAATAGACAAGACATGCAAGGCCATTTCTCTCTATCAGCAGAGAGATGCGTCTCTGTGATATTTCCACTCACCTTCATTAGGGACACATATTCATTCTCTGCTGCTGTGGGTTTGTTGATGTCATCTTCGTATCTACAAGAGGAAGTTGCACCACATTGGAGCCATGGGGTGGATGGCATCAGTGGCAGCCTCTGATCCAGATCCCATTTCTATAACATAGCCACATCTAGCTAAAAGGTGATGTTTGTTTTATTAACTAATTCATTCCTTTTCTGTCCACTAGCTTCCTATAACCCTCCTTGGTCCTAGGCTTTTGCCTTTTGCCAATAAGTTGCCATTTTCATCTCAATGATGAAGCTTTCTTAATTCAGGGAGTTTATGTCTACATTTTGGCTTTCATTTTTATAAAGTTTAAGAAACTGGATACCTCATTCGTCATAACTCACTTGCTCTTGTAGTCCTCCACGGTATCCTGCATGTTCCTCAGCTCTGAGTCCAGGCGGCCCCTCTCCCCAATGATGCTATCCAGCTGTCTGCAGAGGTTGCTGATGTACTGCTCAAACAGAGGCTCCAGGTTCTGCCTCACGGTCTTGGTGCCCTGCTCCTGCAGCAGGGTCCACTTGGTGTCCAGGACCTTGTTCTGCTGTTCCAAGAACCGCACCTGGTTGGGGTGGAGGGGTGGGTGTGAGGGAGAGAAGTTTGAGTTTCAGCTTTCTATAACCCCTTCATGAGTGTGTCCCCCCTCTCAGGCTGCCTGCCTAAACCCATTCAGTGTAGGTAAAACCTGGTCCTGTGCCTGAGAAGGACAATCCAGAGTGAAGCTCACAACACCACCTCTCTAAGGATGGCAAAGTACTCATGCAGGGCACTGGCAGCCCAGCAGTATGTTGCTGGAGTGTGCTGCAGCTTGGTGAGGCTGGTGTGACTCCCAACTGCACTATATATAGACTTTCATCTCACTACAATCCTTTGTTGTGTGTTTTAGCTCATCTCCGTCCATTGCGATCAGACACCCTTATGGGGCAACCTCTGGAGGAGAAGAACTCTAACCCTGATTTCTAGATGCCTGTCTGACTGAAAAGGAGCACAAAACTAGGACTCAGAACCAATTAGAAACAAAGGCAATATCAGAGCCAAGCCTGAAGCCTCTTCCATCTACCCATGTCTTTGCCATTCACTGCAGACACACAGGCTGCTCTAGGAAGGACCATGTCTCACCTTGTCGATGAAGGAGGCAAACTTGTTGTTGAGGGTCTTGATCTGCTCCCTCTCCTCAGTCCTGACCCGCTGGATGGTGGGGTCAATTTTCAGGTTCAGAGAGGAGAGGAGGCTCTGGTTGATGCCTCCAGGTGGGCACACGGGGAAGCCAGCTCCCCCAAGGCCACCACCAAAGCTAGCTCCACCACCGAAGCCAAAACCACAGCCAAAGCCACCACTTATTCTTACTCCAAAGCTAAGGCCTCCCCCGATTTGGCTGCCATAGCCTCCTCCAATGCTGCAGCTGCCCACTCCGATGGAGATCCTCTTGGAGCTCCCCACACCACAGACTCCTGCTGCCAAAGCCAGCTCGTCCACACACTGCACCGGAGCCACTGCTGCCCCGGGAGCAGCACACAGACACACTGCTGAAGCCAGAGTGGTTGAGCCCAGGCACTCTGGCTGAGCTGGCATTGTAGCCACGGTGGCTGGTTTGACTCCTGATGGTGGTTTTGGTAGACATGATTCCTAGAGATGAGAAGGCTGGGAAGTGGAGAGAGGCAGGGCAGAGCTGAAGAGATGGGTGTGAGGAGCTCCAGGTGGCGACTTATATATGGTACAGATGAGCTGGGCTGGGTCCTGAAGGTGAGCTTACCGACCAGAAGGTCATGGCTTTACAAACAGTGAAGTAACATGTAGATTTAAAAATGCTATGAAACGTTCAGATTGAAGTTTTGGCTTCAAGTTTTGGCTTTAATTTTAGTTAGGGAAAATGCTCCTGCCTCTAGTGTTGACCTGAGCTGAATACAGTTAAGTTCTTCATTCACTGTGTCTCAGAGTTAGTCACAAACTCTACAAAGGTTTTGCATGTCCTGTTGAATGTGCTGACGTCTCTGAACCAGGCTTGCCTGCTCTTCTCTCCCATGGAGACTCTTGAGACCAAATGTCATCCTGTGCCAACAGAAAGACCATAGCTGATCTTCAATGATTAGGAATATAAAATATAACCTGTTTTCCTTTAAATCCCATTTCTAACTGATGCAAAGGTCAAACACATTTTGGTCCCACACCTGTGTGGCCAGCTTTAAGACAAGCAGCTCACAGCCAGCCTTTTGCTTTCATATTCCAATTCAATTCACTCACCAGCCTGATGGTATTTGAAATCAGATCTCAGAAAACATGTAATTTCTTCAGTATGTAATACAATATTACATCTTAAGTTAGGATGTTTTTTATATATGTAGAAATGACCTTATGTCTTAAAATATACATACAGATATATTAATTTACATTAAAAATTGCTCAAGGGACTGTAAAGACGGCCCACTGATGAAAAGCAAATGTTGCTCTTGCAGAAGACCAGAGTTTAGTCTCCAGTGCCCACATGGTGTGTTACAACTCTCCATAACCCCATTTCCAGGGAATCTCATGTCTGCTCCTGACCTCTGAGGGCACCAGACACACCTATAGTATCATACTTAGCTTCAGGAAAATACTCCTATAAATAAAATAAAAACAAATGATTGTAACAGCTGAAATAATTGATTTTTCTATTACCTAGTTAGCCTTATTAACTTTAAAATGTCGATGGTTCAAATTTCTAAGTATGTTTTATTCTTATTTTATTCAAGTCACATATTTTAACATATATTTTAATTCTCTTATAAATTCTCGTGTATGCCTTTGATGACAAGGAGTCAGAACCCCTAGAGCTGGAATTACCAGATGATTGTGATCTCTGAGTTGTCATGTGGGAACTGGGAATTGAACCCAGGACGTCTGGAACAGCAGGCAGTGCTCTTTACCAATGTGCCAGCTCTCTGACCCCTCCGTTAGTAACTCCTGTGTTAAGGAATACAGATCAACTGTCCTAAATGCTTCAGCTCCCGCTTTTCCACTAAATTGCCCCTGCTTTCTGCTTTTGGAGGTCACTGTGTCTACCACATCTTCTGTCACTGATATTCCTTAAATAGTGCATCTTAAGATATACTCAAGCTTTCCAGAGATGGTGAAACTGCCAGGATATTTACAACTATCCTGTTTTGTTCTGTTTTTAAATATGAAACTAAAAGTTTTCCTCTCAAATTCTGTGAAGAATTGTGTTGGGATTTTGACAAGGCTTGCATTAAATCTCTAGAGCATTTTTGGTAGGATGGCCATTTTTACTGTGTAAACCCTATGGACTCATGAGCGTGGAGATTTTTCCATCTTCTGATATCTCCTTCTCTTTCTTTCTTCCGCATCTTAAGGTTTCTATCACAGGAGTCTTTCCCTTGCTAAGTTAGAATTACCCCTAAGATATTTCATATTGTTTGAAGCTATTATGAAAGGTGTCATTTCCCTGACTTCTCTCTCAGTCAGTTTTTCATTTGTGTATAGGAAGCGTATTGATTTTGTGAGTTAATCTTGTATCCAATACTTGCTGAAAGTGTCTATCATTTGTAGGCATTTTCAAGGGGACTTCTTAGGGTGATTCATGTACAGTGCCATATAATTTGAAAGTAAAATTCTTGTCTCACTGATATCATTCAGTTGTCTTATTTCTCTTAAAACGTCATGTTCTATATTGAATAGGTATGGGGATAATGGATAACGTTTGGTAGACTTGCCCTGAGCTCTATACATGTAAGTTGATCTTGGCTTTGGGGTTAATGGAAACTACCTTTATTAAGTTGAGATATGTTCCTTGTTATTTTTAATGAAATATATGCATGTGGGGTGGGAATGAGTCAAGTGCTAGTGGGACCCGATGTGGGCACTGGGAACTGAACATCTGTTATGGAAGAGCAGTGTATATTATTGATCATTGACCCATCTCTCTGAGCCCTAGTTTTAAAAATCAGTTTCTCTACATCTTTTAATTGAAGAGTTAAGATGGTCATTATTGAGACAGTTTTACTCACTCCAATAATTTGGTGTTATTTTCCTGATTGACCCAATAGGATTTGTTCTTCTTTAAAGATCTTTACCCATTTTGAGGCAATGCTGATTTACTGAGTTAGACATGTTTGCTTCTTTCTTTTTTTCTCATGTGTTCAAGGTTCCCCTTGTGATATTTATTATCTTCTAAGATCTTGTGATTCTGGTTGCCTTACTTCTATTGTGTGATCCCTTTAAGTGTCCTCTTGGATATTGGCTTATGGGTTATAAGCTGTTAAGCACTCTTGAGACATGGGGGTGGCAAATGGGGTTCTTCTTCAAAGCAGAGAAGTGACTCTTATACTTCTTACACTGATGGATTTAAGGATGTGAGAACCATGGGCTTGTACTGCGGTTAAACTTGCCAGTCAGTTTTTCCAGGGCTGCCTGGTTTCCCTTGTGTTTGTGAGTTTGTCTCTTCCTGCCCATGGGGCCAGAGCTGGAACCCTGGAGTGTTTTCTACTTTCTTGGAGCAGTCTTCCTGTTCACCACACAGGAAGCTAGAGTCTGTTGCAGAGGCCCCACACTCTTCATCTTTGTACCTCTTGAGGATAAAGCCTATCACCTGCCCTGAATCTTCTCACAGTGAAGAAGTTTCTAAACTGCCATCCTAGCCAACTTTTTGAAAACTTGTTTATTATTGGTTTCATTTGTTTAATAGATTTGCAGATCTGCCGATTACTTATTTATCCTTGTGTGGAATTTGGCATTGTAGAATTTGGCCAATTTAATTTAAATAATCAAATTTGACACAGAGGTCTTTGTAGTGATCCTTCTACATAAGGTAACCCAAACCCAGAAAGACAAATGGGACATGTCCCTTTTCATTTGTATATACTAGAATAAAGATTCTAGAATAGTAGTCTCTTTAGATGTGTGTGTGTGTTTAAATTCGAGTCTGCATAGAAGGCAAGAAGGCACATAGGTATGGTGGGAGGATTTCAAGTGAAGGGAGGACAAATGCAGGTGCTACGGATTGAGAGAGGAGAAGAATGGAATATGAAGTGTTAGATGTGTCAGGAGGTATGAGGGAGGGTAGGAAACAAGAGATAGTATAGGAGAGACAACTAACACTAAAGGTCTGTGGAAATGCCATACTGGAGCCTTCTATTGTAAGTATCTCCTAAAATACCTTAATATACACCTATAAAAGGAGTTTAAATGTCATACTCTATTACAGGGGACAATGTCTCCCTCAGGCTCTGTTGGCTATCAAAGAGAAAGACTAGTCTTATGTATGAGTTACCTTTTTCACATTGTTCATCAGTGGGTCCCATAGACCTCTGAGTCATTACAGGCTACTGCCAATACTTCTGGTTACCCACCAGAACCTAATAGTAAGACCATACGAAGATACTACATAGAGTCATAAAACATTAAGAAATAAAGGTCATGTGGACCTAGAAATTTTATACCTACTGGGTAGCTTCCATGGTGCTAGAATGTTCTATTGACTCTAACAGAGGGGGAAAGTATTGAATAATAATGCCCTGTTCTGGTCCCTATGAATACAATAATGACTGGGCTAGCACATTGGATCAATGATGGTACTAATGTTAAGGGAATAACCATCCACATTCTGATTGCATCTAAGGCCCACTCCACAAGATAGAACTCATTCTGGGTACTTAAGCAACTCACAGCAGGTGGATGCCTCTGTCTTAGGCCCTAGAGAAGAAGCTAATACTGTTCTGCTATGGACATAGTAATAAGCTGTTCATCAAGTTGTTATCTTTAAGATTAGTGCATGTCTTAAGCCTGACCAAAGACAATTATTCTATAGTAGGTAATGATTAACATAAACAAATACACACACACACACCTGGTCATCTTGTAGAGAATAAGACTGTGAAATGTATAGCTCTAAATAAACATCTATATCACACCTCCTCCACACCAAAAAAAATTCAGGCAACATTGTGGAACTGGGAGGGAGGATTGGAATAGCAAAAAGTTGTGAATGTTATCATCAGAAATGTATTTGCTGAACATACAGGGCCATCATACACATGATCTCACAGTGACTATGACTACACTCACAAAAATTGCACAAGAACAATCCAGTGAGAAATCCCAGCATGGATTGGGGAGGAGTTCACGAGATTCCATCTTGCTGAGAATGTTTTTGAAAATTGATGGCTAGTGGGGAAAAGAGCAAATTTTCTTCAGGAATGTGGTCCCTGAAAGGGGCCATGCTAAAGTAGATTGTCTTGAACTCATGTATTTACAGGCAACACAAATCAGAACTTTTGGGAGGGATAGATAACAAAGATGAAAGAGAAGATGGGAAAGGGATAGAGGAGGAATAGGAGGGCAAGAAATGAGAAGTGGTTTTTGTGGCAGAAATTTCCTGCCCAATGTATTTGCAGCAGAGCACTGTCATTGAATAGGGAAGAGGGAGGCAGAGCTAGGAGTGGAGAGGAGAGAAAGAAGGCAGAGGAGAGAGAGGAGGGGAGAGGAGAGGCAAGATGGCAGCAGATGTTACCTTTATGTCTCTAGCATTCTCAGGTAGTTTATTCATATCAAGGTTAGATAATTGTCATAACAATTCTAATTGTGTGGGCACCTTGTATATTGAGCATTTGCTGATATATAAATCTATTT